CGTTCTTTCTTCTTTTCTCTCTCTCTCTCTCTCTCTCTTTTTCTCTTTCTCTCTCTCTCTTTCTCCCTCTCTTTCTTTCTCTCTCTTTCTATCCTTCGCTATTCTATTATTTATTTTTTTTTTCTTTTTAAAAACCACAAAACTTATTTTCTTATTCCTCTCTTTCTATCTATATCTCTGTTTCTCTTTGTTTGGGTTATCCTTTTCACACCTCTCTTTCTTTCTCTCTCTCTCTCTCTCTCTCTCTCTCTCTCTCTCTCTCTCTCGTTCGCTCTCTCTTTCTCTCTCTCTCTCTCTTTCTCTCCTTTTCACTTTGTCTCCTTTTAATATATATACGACACGATGATATTAACGACGATTATTTAAAACACGAATTTCATATGCACGTTTATCAATCGGCGAACATTAAAACGCAGAATAATACGAAGAAGGGCAAGGATGAGGTCAATGGAAAATAGGAAGAAGACACGAATGAGACATCGCGTAGAAAAGCACAAGCGACCTCGCTCTAACTACTCTGCTCTCGTGAAACACCGTACGCGACTCGCGCGTAATCTTCGAGACGCGGAGAACTAAACTACTCTTTCTCTCTCTTTCTTTCTCTCTCGTTCTCTCTTTCTGCATAGAGAGTTTCATGGCCCGACGACGGAGGACATGAGCGCGCGGGCGCGCGAATCGTTATGCATCGGCGCCACGGAAATCGTTGTCACGTGATCACACCTTCGCTATTCAAATAATAACCCGCCAAATCTGTTTTATTTGTTAATAAATCGATTGAGTTTTATTCATTTCGAAAGAATTAAAATGTTTTCTACGAGTTCGAATATTCGATAGAAAATTTTTATTTTAATTTACTTCGATATTAGGATTAATGTTTGTGTCGATCGATCGCGATTGATCGATTAATGATAAAATAGTAATTGTTTCGATCGTATTCTTCTTCAATTTGCCACCGGTAGATGGCAAATCTGGACTATTCCGAATTCGCGATCGGTAAATCGAAATCATTATCAACATTTCTTAGAACTTTGTATATCGGGAATATTATTATTATCCTTAGTATTATAATGGTTTACGCTTTATAATGATTTGGCCTTGTATAATATCAATACGGTCTTTTAATTAGTATCGACGATTACGGAGTTAGTTTTTTTTTTTTTTTTTTGTATTTAGACGCATAAACATCCCTCTTTCTAATCGAAAAAATATATAAATTAATACTTTCGATAATTGTTCAATTATTTAAACAGTACACGATATAAAATAAATTAATATTTAAACAATAGTATATATTAATTTAAACATTTTACCGTGTATCTATCATTCTTTATATTATTAATAACTTAATACTTTGACATTGGTAGTTATGTATATTTATTCATCATTTGTGTAGGATAATTATCTCTCTCGTAAGTCTGTAAATATATAACATTTGAAAAATATTTCGTGCACGATGGCGTCTTTTAAAAAAACAAATTCAAAGATATTTATGAGGGCGGGACCTGAAATAACACCGGATAATATTTATTGGAAAAAATATACGGTATGAGTTTATATAACCTATATAATAACGTTTGTTTAACTCATCTTTTCTATCATAGAAAAGTGGTATAAACATAACCTATAAATTAATATCTTAATTTGATATTTTTATTATTACAAATATGTTTCATTTATTTTATAGGCACCTGTATTAGTGAAAGAATTTGGCCCTATTGATTATATCGATTTTTCACCCGTAGAGCCACATTATTTTGCTGTCACTTGTTCTGTTAGAGTACAAATTTACAATCCGATAACTAAATTAGTTACAAAGAATTTCAGTAGATTCAAAGAAGCTGCCTATGGTGGTTCCTTTCGTAGAGATGGCAAATTATTATGTGCTGGAGGAGAAGAATCTTTTATACGATTATTCGACGTTAGCACAAAAAATCTTTTACGTCTTTTCTCAGGCCATAAAGCCGCCGTACATAGAACATTTTTCACTGCAGACAATCTTCACATAACATCATTTTCTGACGATAAAACTGTAGCACTATGGGATATAGGAACTGAAAAGCAAATAATTACTTTTAATGAACATACCGATTATATCAGAGGTGGAGCAGTAAGTCCTGTATCTTCGGACATAGTATTATCAGGAGGCTATGATAAATTAATAAATATGTACGATACTAGGACAAACAAAAAAATTTTTACCGTAAATCATGAAGCACCCGTAGAAAGTGTTCTCTTTCTACCTTCTGGAGGAATATTTTTATCGGCAGGTACGTTCATATAAGATATTGTTTTTAAGAATATATAAATAAATTAATTTTGTTTAATACGGATTAGGTGGAACAGATGTGAAAGTATGGGATGCGCTTGCAGGAGGTAGATTATTGGCAAAACTTTCACAACATCACAAAACAGTGACATGTTTAAAAATAACTTCCAATGGTCATAGAATATTATCTGGTTCATTGGATAGACATATTAAAATCTATGATTCAGGAACATATAAAACTGTTCACACATTGGATTATTCTAATTCAGTTCTAAGCATGGGAATTAGTGTAAATAAATATTTACTATTATGATTATATATATATATATATATATATATATATATATATATATATATATATATATATATATATATATAAAAGAAATTATTTCAGATCATCTTTGATTATTCTATTGAATTATTTTCAATTACAGGCAAACGATGAAACTATAGTGGCTGGTATGGTGGATGGTTTGATTTCAGTGCAAAGAAAAGAGGAAGATATTAAGGATACAAAAGTTCAACGTAAAAAAATGTCATATAAAAATGCAGGTGAAAATACTTATGTATCGAGCGTCGATACTCTAGTGCAAGAAGAAGTTAAAGAAACAATGAGTAAACACGACACTTGGTTGAGAAAATTTCAATATTCCAAAGCATTGGATTCTGTTATGTTACCTTATGTAATTAATAAAACTCCACATGTGGCAGTTGCATTATTGCAAGAACTTAATAAAAGGCAAGGTCTTAGACAAGCCCTTGCAGGAAGAGATGGAAAATCTCTTGCTAATATTATAAAGTTTTTAATTAGATACATAGGTAATGTTCGCTTTGGACGAGTATTATTACATGTGGCCAATGTTTTAATGGGTTAGTTAATATATATATATATATTGTAATTTTATTTTACATATATAAATATACCATGAAATTATATTTTCTTCATTATTTAATATTATAGATGTTTATGAAGATAATTTAGATGGACTTGCAGCAGAACCACGAAACATGTTCAATCTTTTAGCAAATAAATTACAAGAAGAAGAGGATTTAATTGTATCATTGGCACAATTACAAGGTACACTTCAAATTATATTATCCGGTGCGGAAGCACAACATATTACAACGACTAAAGATAATCAAACTTTAGAGCCCTCAAGTGCTGCACAAAAAAATCTAGTATTTAGTATAGCTTAAACATCGGAATACTATCAATTTATTATTGTAACATATTAATGTACATATATATATATATATATGTGTGTGTGTATATATATAATTTTCCATACAAACTTTAATAAAAAATTATTACATATCGTATACCGGGAAACATTATTATTAGACAATAGATTTTTACTACAATGTATCACCCATGGCACTAAAAAATGTATGCTAAAAAGATCAAAAAATTATCTTATTTAAATTAGAAAAATATTTTAACGATTACACAAATAATCCTTTACTTTAAATCTCAATATATAATAAATTTTTAATTAATTTATTTTTATAATCAATTTTTATACGCCAAAAATATACTAATAAATCATTTTAAGATATATCATTTTTAAGATATTTTTGCCATGCAGCAGATCGTGGTGTTTTAGGTATTATCCAACCAATTGGAATTTGCGATGAGCCAACATCAAAATTGATATATTTATCCCAAGCAGTTCTATAATATAAAAATGTTGTTAATAGATAAGTGATATTTTTTATTATAATAATAACTTTTTGTTGATGTCACTTACCGAATCATAACAAGATTAGCAATATCTGTTTGAACTTGATCTGGCATTAAAATTTTTCTTCCAAATAATACGTTTTGCCATTCATCTAAAACATTCCTTTTTTGTTTCTCTATTAATTTCTCATTATCTGTCTTTAGCATTAACTTTAAGCCTTGCTCTTCGATGGAATATTCTCTATCTAATCCAGACCACTGTTCTGACAATTTATCTATAAATATTAAATAATTAAAAAATTTTGTTTAGTACATTATTTGGATAGCATATATATATATATATATATATATATATATATATATATATATATGTATGTATGTATGTATGTATGTATATATGTATATATGTATATATGTATGTATGTATGTATGTATATATGTATATGTATATATATTATAAAAAATTAATTACCAATAATGTTATTGAAGGCCTCATTCGCTGCCGTAGATATCGTTTCTCCTCTCGCTTTGGCAATATTAGTTTTTACATTTCGTAGATTTTTTAATTCTTGTAAAATTAATAAATACTTTTTAGCATCATTTCGTTTATTTCGTACATCCGATAATATCATATCGGCATCTTTGCGCAAATTTTCATCTTGCTTTTCTTTTTCTATTACTGCCTGTTCTCGCCTAAGCCATGAATCTGCTTCTGCATGTAATCTAGCTCTTCTTTCCATTCTATGTAATTTTTCAATTTTCCAATTTTGCCTTTTAACGTGTTCCCTTAATCTTTTCTTTTTACGTTTTTCCACGTCTTTTTTTAATTGATTGAAAAAAGTCTTGTCTTTAAATTTTCCAATTATTTCAAGTATTTGATTTTTTAATGTAGCAGACATTTCAATTTTTTCTTTCCATTCTTCTATCGGTAAATCTATATTGCATTGAAGTTCCGCACAAATGGTCTCTATTTTTTTATTTAATTTGAATATCATAATTAAAGAATTTCTAGCTTCACCAATTTTTGAAGGTCTTTTAAAACTTTTTATATCTATTATATTCGAACTTTCTTCTGTTTCTTTAAGAAAATTTTCAATTTGCTCTTGATCCTCTTGTCTTTTTTTAATTGAAACATTCAATATTCCATCGGTGGAATTAACATTACATGGATTCCAATTAGGCGGATATAAATTTTGTTGAAAGTTTACATTGTAATTTAAGCTATACATGGATTCGTTATAATTTGTTGGATAATACATTATTGAAATGAAAACCGTTATTTATATTAGCAAAATCTATGTGAAAATTCTTGATTGTTAAATGCAATTCTTTATAATCAATAAATATAAAATCTAAAGAAATATCTTATTTCTATCTTAGCCTTTATAATTAACAGAAATGCGGATTGCTTTTTAAAGTTAATAATACATAAAAATAATTAATTGCGTAGAAAAGATTTAACTTGGACATTAATCTTCGTCTAACACATTTCCAAAATTTCTCCTTCTTTAGGGAGTTGAGCTTCGGCTTCTTGCAATACTTTTTCCGCTTCTATATAATCCTCAGCTTCTTTTAAATCCTGTTCCGTATCCAAAATACCCTTTAATTCTTCGAAAGCTTTTACAAGACGACGTTGACAGTCCGGTACCATCATAAGAGATTCTTGTAAAACTTCTTCTTGTTTCTTAATATCATATCCATCCTTGTCTATAAATGTAGAGATGACGTAATAATTTAAAGAAAAAAAAAAAACGATCTAATAAATTAATTTCTTAATGAATTAATTATTTAACGATGTTTTATGATAGGCAACGTTGTTTAAATAAAATTAAAAGTATCGTCGTTCCAATTGAATATAATTATTTCGAATTTGAGCTTTTCGTTATCTCACTGAAATATTTTCTCACCCTGTTCTTTTAATTGCTGTATTCTTTGACGTTGTTGGGCTGCTTCTTTTTCGTAAGTAACTTTTTCTTTAGCAAGACGTTTTACTACTCCGGTTTTAATTTTTAAAGTTCGTATACGCGGATCAGACATTTCGTGTATTAATTTAGTTAACAATTGTATCTTGTAATTATTTTTTTTTTTCTTATCTCTATCTTTTTATAACAAACAGTCCAATTATTACCTTTTAAGGTAAGATGATTGAATAGAAATGAAGCGGTACGTGAAACTGTTAGGTTTATAGGTTAGGTAAGCTTCGCAGTTGCAGAGTGCGTTCAAATATAACCATTGCAGTAAGGCCATAAGACCATATATTATGAAAATTTAATACAAACGTTAAATCCAAAATTTCTATTACATAATAAAACGAATTTTAATTATTAAAAGTAATAAAATATACGAAACAACAGTATCTACTATGCGAGAAAAACTATATTAATATAAAGAAATAGAAAAAAAAAAATTACATATCCATAAGAACGATTTACCTTACTATACAAACCTAATTAAATATCAATATTATAAAAATTAATTTATGCTTATTTGATTTGAAAAAAAGAAAAAATAATTATGATTCACTTACATACATATATATATATATATGCATAAGATAATTATATATACAAATTTAATATATATTTATGTTCGATCAGATTTAATTTTTACCGCCATTTAATGTTCACAGTAGACCGTATATGAGTTTCTCTTCGAGGGGGCAGCACCGTATTCATTCACGAAAACGACGAGAAAAGTTGAACATCTATTTTATTTCGATAATACGTGAAAGAAACACGAAGGATAATTGTACGTTGCTTCACGCTCATCTCGCGTTCGAAACTCATTGAGAGATGTAACGGAGAGAGAAGTGTCAGTGGCATTCGATATACAATGCAAGAAGATATATTTCCAGCCGCAGAGAAAATCCTTTCCGATATCGAGAACATCCTGAAAAAGGATTCCTCTGTGTGAGTATATTCCTTTTTCATACATATTCTACACTCGTAATCGTGAGGGCGGTGTCTTTAGAAAATATAATCGAGATTAAAACATTGAGGAGATTCTTCTTCGTGATGAGAAAGTCCGTTTTTTTCCCTTTAAAAAAAAAAAAAAACAAAAAGGAAGAAACTTTATCAATTAAAAAAAAAAAAATAATAAAAAAGAAAAAAAAGAGGGGAAAGGGTTTTAGTGTCGACCTTGATAACAACGCGCATTAGGGCTAAGATTTCGTATTTTTCTTTTCATTGTTTATTTGTTATTTTTATTTTTATTTCTCTTATTTTTTCTTTTCTCTCCGTTTATTTTTTTTTTCTTACTCTCTTTCTCTCTCTCGCTCTCCCCTCCGTTTCTCTCTCTCTCTCTCTCTCTCTCTCTCTCTCTCTCTCTCTCTCTCTCTCTCTCACACACACACACACTCTCAATCTCACTGTCTTTTATCTACGTATGTATCTGACGTTATCTCATTCTTCCATTCTTTCGTATATACAAACCGTTCGATCGATTTCAATTTCCACGAAACGAAACGAAGGGAGTACCCTAATAGTCCCCATACTTCGAGAAACACATGCCTGCTATTTGCATAAAAAATTGTGACAATGATAATAAACAGTTTTACGCTATTTCCAATAATGATTGATTATATACATCATTTCTTTGGCGCCATAATATTTCCCTCTCTCAATATTCCTCCCCTTCTTTTCTTCCCTCTTTCTCTGTCTCTCTTTCTCTCTCTGTTTTTTCTTCCTTTTTTTTTCTTTTATCATTTTTCTTTTTTGATCTCAACGATCTTGATAGTAGTAATGATTTCCATAAAGAGATTTTTTTTTATTTATTTATTTTTTTTTTTTTTTTTTTTTTTTTCTTTTTTTTTTCTTTTTTTTTTTTTTAAAGAGATGAAGGTACATAATTATGGTAGAAAATATATATATGTATGGGAACATGCATATATATATATATGTATATATATATCGTGTGAAAGAATGATTACCCCTTAGGATACAAAATTGGAGACATTAATATTTTTTCTTTTTATTTATTTATTTATTTTTTTGGGGGAAGGGAGGAAGGATAGAGGAAGGAATAATTAACATGTATGAAAACATGTTTTTTTAACCTCAGGTTAAATATAATATATCATATGCGTATGTATATGTATATATATATATAATGTTTTTCCTGGGTTTCTCTCTCTCTCTCTCTCTCTCTCTTTCTCTCTCTCTCTTTCACTCTTTCATGTTCTATAAGCTTTACGGCCAAGGTCGTTCGTTCATAGTGTGTATGTGTACCAGTTCCGTATATACTAGTTTTCGACGCAGTTAATATTGATCAATGAAATAATTATTATTTCATCGAGTACTAAGAAAAATAATCTCCTCTCATGTTGATCGATTTAGCATATGGGGTGGGTGGGGAGGGGGAGGGAGGGAAGGAGGGAGGGTGAGAAGTGAAAGAAAAGAAAAAGAGAAAAAAGAAAAGGTCGAATTTATATAAAGTACGTACGTATCTGTCGTTATTTATTTTTAACCTTGACACGTAGCCTTTCATCGATCCATTCATCTAACATTTTTTCTAACGTGTGTTTTTTTTTGTTCTTTTTTTGTTTTTTTTAGAAAGACATTTGAGATCATACCTGCCGAGGACAACGAGAACAAGTCGCCGGTATTTCATCAGGAAGAATGTTTGGGTTTAGCCTCTTGGTGCGTGCAACCACTTTATTGCTACGTACATCGTCGTTTGTTTGAACACCGTCGAAATAAACATAGACGAGAGGATCCAAGCAACGTTGCTAGATGGCTATTAGGTGCGTTGCTATTAAATCCAGACGTATCGACGTTTTGGAATATGAGAAGAGAATTGGTCAAAAATTACAAATTGGACGTTACCGAGGAATTAGATTTCACACGATTGGTATTATATAAAAAGGCAAAATGTTTTGAAGCATTTGCGTATCGCCGTTGGTTATTACCATATTTATTAGACGGCGAAGGAAAGAATTATGATCCTGTACCAACGGAATCGCCTTTGTGCATTGAAATGGACATTACTAGTACATGCGCCGATAGATACGCAACTAATTATCATGCCTTCAGTCATCGTAGATACGTTATGGCACTTAAGGAATATCGCGGATATACTCATCCTAATTTCGATAGCGAATGGAAAAGTACTTTAACATGGTGCCGATCAAATGTATCCGATTATAGCGGCTTTTGTTACCGACAATATCTTTTGGAGAAGTGCCTGCTCGAGACCGACACAAATACCAAGAGTAATATCTTCAAATGTATTAAAATCAATGAATATCGATTACGTTCGCAATTGGTAATGGATTACGTTGCCGATTTGGTTCGTGTTAATTCTGACGACAATAATTCTCAAAATAATGAAACTAATGAAGACTTGACGTTGGACGAATACGGTCCTACGCTTCATATTCTTGATCTACTTCATGGTAAAAGACGATCCAGCATTACCAGCAATAACATCATCGCCGGTAACAACAATAGTTGTAATAACACCAGCACCAGTACCAGCCATAGCACCAGTCACAGCAGCAGTAGCAGTACTACTACTACTATTATTACTACTACTACTACCAATACTACTACTACTACTACTACTACTACTACTACTACTACTACTACTACTACTACTACCTCGCAACTTAAACCCTGGCAAATATGTTTTCAAGCTTTGTCCTATTGGATAGAGGAATGTAGGATCAATGAAGACTTGATTAGATTGTACGACGATCACGAAACTCTTTGGTATCAACGTAGATATCTCGCTCATATTCTAATACGCCTTATCGAATCCTACAAAAAATATTCCTATTATAAGTCTGAAATAATCGTTGATCCTCGTCATCGTATCATACCAAATGAATATAGTAACGTCGATGAAATGGCCGATGAGAAAAGTAAAATCAAGGCTCTTCTCGTTGAAGCTTTCTTAAATCGTACTCGTGACATCGTTGAGTTAGCCATGAAACGTGACACCCACGAGAAACTCATTGTCGACAAATTCCTAAGATATCTAAATGACGTTGGTCTTAAGCTTTGAATTATCTTTCGCTAATCTTATATTATTTTCTTCATAATCACTTTGAGAGATTTATTCATTATAGTTTTCAAAAAAAAAAAAAAAGGAGAAAAAAAAAACAAGAAAAAAACAGTTATAGATTTTGAAATCATCTTCTACAGAGATTATTAGAGATATATGCAAATATTTATTATAAGAAATATTTTTTATTTTTTCTTTTTTTTTTTTTTTTTGTAACTAATTTTCTCTCTATCTCTATCTCTATCTCTATCTCTTTGATAATAAGATTATAAAAGATATCTCCTTTTCTATTGTAAAAAATGATATGGTTTTACATAAAGGATTCGATGCTGTCGATCAAATGATTAACAAATATAAAAATAATATATATATGCACGCGACTCATAACGCGTCAGATTATATTATTCTATTCGAAGGAATATTCGAGCATAGTCGTGTAACAACTATGGCAATAATATTTTCTCTATTTCTTATTTTTTATTTATTTATTTTTTTTTTCTTTTTTTTTTTTTTTGTTATTTTATTTTATTTTATTTTATTTTACTTTCCTTTTTTTTGCTCATAGTGTTCTCGCAGAAAATAATAATATATTATAATAATAACAATAATAATCATCATCGTTTACCTTCGATCATGATGTTATGATTCTATTTTCACTGTGTGTGTATATAACTTTCGTTTTGATAATTTAACATTAATCTGATAGATCAATATATCATTGAATCAAGATTTTTCATTACAAACTTAGATTTGTGTATATATATATATATATATTTTGTTTTTTTTTTTTTTTTAATCAAACTATAATAGCACGTTTTAAAAATTGTATCAATTCAATTTGAAATAGGGGCCTGACAAAACACTTATTCAATTTACATTCGAATTGTCTATAATAATACAGTAATACACGAATCACTTTTATTCGTTCATTCATAAAAAATAATATCATTAGATGATCATCGCATGATCATTACATACCTATACAGATACATACATGCATATATTCATGCGTACATACATGCACATACAAACGTTATAAAATATGTAAGGAAGATTTTCTCTTCGACTAAATATCGTTAATATCAAATGATTAATTAATCGAATTCGCATGTAATCTGTCAGATAAAGAAGAATGATATAATAGTTCTGTTTACAAAAAAAAAAAAAAAAAAAAAAAAGAAGAAAAAAAAAAGAAAAAAATGAAATAAGAGAAGGCAGATTAACGTATGGGATTGATTGTACCGTACGATTACAGGGAAAGTTTAATAATAATAATAATAATATTGTATGTGTATAGTCAATACCCTGATATGGAAAGTGATAAAAGAGATTAGTTTTTTAAAAAGATTGTTTATATATATATATATATATATATATATATATATATATATAAAATTTTATTTTTAATACTTATACTGTCGTATAAGTATCACGAAAGGTATTCTATCTTGAAAAAAAAATTTGTTATAATTTTGAGAGAAACACTTTCAAAAGTAATCTCGATGCGTACTTCATATGTATATATATATATATATATATATATATATATATATATATATATATATATATATATATGGTTAAAAATAATTGGTATGATAATGAATTGTTCACAGAAATGTACATACAATGTTTTAAATATTATCTTCGTTATTTTTATTTGCGTACATAATTTTCTTTATTTATCTTTCTTATCTTCATAAGTTTCTTTTTTTCTTTTTTTGTGCTTTTTATTAGCCCGAACATTTTGAGAAAAGGTATAATTAAAAGTGATGAATATATTTAATTTTTTTCAAATAATATTTTATAGACATCTTAATCTCTTCTTAACTCTTTTTTCCGTTTTCTTTTTCTTTTTGTAATTTTTTTTTTTTTTTTTTATGAATTCAAAGATACGAAATTATCAACGGAATGAGTTTCAAATTTCTTAAATAATTGCAGATACTACTGTTCTTTTTTAATTGCATGACAATAGATGATTACTACTAAGTTATATTTAATCGTATACGTGTACTAAGTAGTTCTTTTCTCTCTCTCTCTCTCTCTCTCTCTCTCTTTCTCTGCGTGTGTGTATATGTGCGTGTGTAGTATGTGTATAGTAAATATATGTGTTTTCTAATCATGACGTGGCTAAGGTAAGGTCCCGTCTCTTTGGCACAGAAGGAAAAACGAAAATAAACTACTTGCATACTGGCGAAGACTTTTGACGCTAGCAAGTCGTCGTCATCGTCAGTCTAACGCGAACTATCGTTTAGTAAAGTTCAACAATTATATTAAACTTATCACGTGGATTTTCCAATATCGTTGTTCTTATAAATATTTAACAAAAAAAAACAATTTATATATATTTATTTATTTATTTATTTATTTATTTATTTATTTATTTATTTATTTATTTATTTATTTATTCATGTATATATTTATGTGTTTCTGTTTCTTCTTTTTTTTTTTTTTTTTTTTCTTTTCTTCTTTGATTTATCGTATATTTCAAAATGTCGAAGGATCATACAAAAATTACAATGTGGACGACGAAGTGTAGTAATTATTGGTCAATGATAGAAAGGAAGTTAATAATAAATAAGACTAGGAAAACGTGAGATTAGAAATACAGTTGAGAGTATTTTTTCAAAGAAAATAGCTTTGTGTGTGTGTGTATGTGTGTGTGTGTGAGTGGGTGCGTGTGTATGCGCGTATGTCTGTACTTTAATAATAATGTTTCTATGGAAATCAAACTGGAAATTTCTATGACGTATGTAATATTTTTTTTCTTTTTGCTTTTTTTTTCCTTTGTTTTCTTTTTTCTTGTTGACTCTTTCTCATTGTCTCTAATGTAATCATTGAATGAATGAAAAGAACGGTTTCGTATTTCTATCTTAATTATAATTGTGACGTAATCTTTTACTGTTTTGTCAGGCTTATATCTCTCTTTCTCACTCTCTATCTTATTTATTACTATTCCAATATGATACTTCGTTGGTTAATTATTTAATGTTGAATAACGACTCGTTATTAAGTAATAGTAAATCGTCAAATTATTTCTAAACGTTTTCTATTCGATTTGTATTTATTGTAACGTAGACATTTCTAACGTTTAATTAATTAATCTAGTATGCTTGATTGATTAATTAATAGTTTAAAGATTAATTATGAGTCGTTATTAAATTATAGAAAATCTTCAAATTATTTCTGAACATTTTTTTAATCAATCGTAATATAAATTCTCGTGTAAAATTAAAACGTTATCTCTATCTCGATTTTTCTCAATCGGTTAGATTCAATTAAGTAGTTGATTTCGTAGAATTATTTCGCATAACAAATATCTCGTTGAGTTAGAAAAGATCGAAATCTATATTGAATTACGTCAAATGAAATATCACCCGGTATAAAAAGAACACACATATACTACGCAACTCAAGTGAAACACCGTCATTTTATGTTTTTGAAAACGAGACGAATTAATTGTGAAAACGAAATCAATCAAAAGAAAAAGAGAAAAATTAAGAATCGAACGATTGAATTGATGAAGAATTTTTAATGCTAATTTTAATCTCATTTAAGATAAACGAACGATATATAAAATTAAAAAAAAAAAAAATTGAAAAATTCATTAAATAATTTAACATCTAATTTGACTAGTGTGGTAAGTAAGAGATTGTTCAAGCTGACGAGGGCGATAGTCTCGGGAGTTTCGCGCCAAAAGTTATTTCGTTTTGCGTCGTAATGGTCACGCGTAAAATTTGATTTGCGATCAAATTTTCTCTCTCTCTCTCTCTCTCTCTCTCTCTCTCTCTCTCTCTCTCTCTTTTTCTTTCGTTAAAGTACAAGGTATAATAAAGCAGATAAAAAAATATCTTCGATCGAGAAAAAGGATCAGGTGGAGAAGAAAATTTTCGATATATTCGTTAAGAAAAAGAAAGAAAAGTAATTGAAAAATGTTAGAAAAGATTTTTCATCTCAATGAACGAGCACGAAAAGAGAGAGAGAGAGAGAGAGAGAGAGAGAGAGAGAGAGAGAGAGAGAGAGAGAGAGAAGGAAGAAGAAAGATACGTACGGAAAATATGTGTACATATGTACGATAATTGGTGTTTGTTTGCTGTGTCAACGAAACGACTGTGGTCGGAAATGGTCGAGAAATGCAAGGACGTTATTGAAGAGAGAAGGTTAGAGATAGAGATAGAGAGATAGAAAGAGAGAAAGAGAGAGAGAGAGAACATATTACTTCGTAATACGGCATTGACGACGGATTACGAAGGGAATTCGTTGTTTCTCGATAGGCCGGGCACACGTGACCATTTACTCTCAGTTTCATTGGTGAATCTGTTCGATTATGTATCAGAGAGAGAGAGAGAGAGAGAGAGAGAGAGAGAGAGAGAGAGAGAGAGAGAGAGAGAGAGAAGAGAGAGAGAGAGAGAGAAAAGAGAGAGAGAAAGAAAGAGAGAGAGAGAGAGAGAGAAAGAGTGCATAAGAAGAAGAAGAAGGGACATGTGTAATGTACTTTCAACGGTCGATAGAGAGAGAGAGAGAGAAAGAGAGAAAAAGAGAGAGAGTGAGAAAGGCATCCTCAGAAATTTCTACCTGTGTGTTTAGTTGGCCAGCGGGTCGTAAGCCGATCTCTCTCATATATCGTCATTTCATTTTCCTTTATTTTAGTGAAACGCATATCCACGTTTAAATATTATTCGATAATAATAATAATAATAAAAAAGAAAAAAGAAAAGTAACAATAATTAATAAAAGAAAAGAAAAACTATGGCATTGGCAGAGGGTGAAACTAACGGCGAAATCAACAATACCAATGGTGGTAGCAATCTTCGACGTGGTAGCAGTTTACGATTACCTCCTGCAGCATCTGTCGGTAGTACAGGTAAGATATATTACATACATATTATATACTTATGTATTAATCGTTTCCTCTATATATATATATATATAGAGAGAGAGAGATGTGTATATACGTTAGTTCACTCTTTTCCTTTTTTCATTTTTATATATATGCCCTTTAACCTTTCAAACATTGATTACGAAGTATCGAAAAATTTTTCGTACAAAAAATGGCGGGAAATTGTGCGTCCGTTTAAAAGTGTATTCCTCTTTTTATTCTTTTTATTCTTTTCTTTTTTTCTGCTTTATTTTCTTTTTCTTTTTTTCTTTTTCTTTTTCCTTTACTTTTTCTTTTCTTTTCTTTTCTTTTTTTTTTTTTTTTTTTTTTTTTTTTTATTTTTTCGTACAATAATATCTCACGTCATTTTACACAAGACACTATATAATAAATAGATACTTACGCGATTTTGTGATATCATATCTAAATATAGTTGTTTTCTTCATTTCTTCTTGCTTTTTGTTTCATTATAAATGTCAATCAATCAATATATTAAATCACACAGTAAGTATCGTATTTATATTGTATCGTATAATATACCTTCGATGTAATCAGTTCTCCTTTTTTGCATACTTTTTATCTTAAACTTTTGCAATTATACATACAAATGTTTCTATATACAATTATTATATCTTTCTTCTTATTTTTCTTTCTATCTTTTTTCTTTTTCTTTAACACTTATTCCCTTTCTCTTTCTCTTTTTTAATCTCTCCTATTTTCTCTCTCTCTCTCTCTCTCTCTCTCTCTCTCTTTTTCTCATTAAATTTGACAATTTCTTGGGATACTCGTTATGCGAGTGTACCATAACCTTGAAGCTCAGTAATTATGCCTAATTGACGATTATGCTAGCGTGATTATCTCTCTCTCTCTCTCTCTCTCTCTCCCCTCTCTCTCTCTCTCTCTCTCTCGTTTCTAAATTAGCGATAAATTAATCTCGTTTATAATCTCTTGGTTTGTTACTTTTTTCTTTTTTTTTTTTCTTTTTTAATAACGAATCATATTTAAGAAATTATGTTAAGAATTTTTTAAGAATATTTTTTATTGTGTTGCGGAGAGGAGGACAAAGATAAGGATAAAGATAAGGAGAAGAAGGAGGAGGAGGTCAGGATAGGACGTACGATTTTTTAATTCTTTTTGTTTTTTTTTTTTCTTTCTTTTTTACTTCTTTTTTTTTTTTTGTTTTGTTATTATTATTATTTCTTCTTTCTTTTGATAACTTGAAACTTCAAGAAGATTCGAATCCTAAAGACATTCCACTTAACTGAATGGGAAGTGGTTCTTGAATTTTTCATGAATCACGTGTTTGATAGTTTCTCAGAAAAGAGGTTTGACCTCGTTCCATCACGTTAACGGAAATCCGAAATACGAAAGAAAAAGGACGATCGAATTTCCGTAATAATACAAAATTCTTATGCCGTATATATATATATATATATATATACATATATATATATATGCATATATGTGCATATGTAATTTCATTCCGTGTACATAATTGCAAGTGACATTTCAATGAGTCAGAGTTTTGAATTGATTAATTGCCCTGGTTCTAATATGAATGTATAAATTTCTTAATTTTTCCTTTTTTTTTTTTTTTTTATATCGAATCTTTCATACGCCTAGTATACATATAGTATGTTTTATTTACTTTGAAATATAATAGAATATACTTTTATCGAAGTGATATCGATAATAATTAATATAGAAGTAAGGACGAATATAAACATTTCTTGATTATATTTTTTTTATATTGAATATTTTCTACATCAACAAATTATATATTGGTTTAGAGTATATATAAATATATTAAATAGAATATATAAGGGACTTTTATATATATATATATATATTTATTTATTTATTTAATCTGATATATAATATATATGTGCATATTTCATTGGAATAAAAATCGAATATCGAAGAAAACATCAAATATTCAAATTATTTCCTATCGTATATTTTACATAATACATGAGAATGTGAATGACGTATCGATTAAAAATAAATCGTATAGTTTCTTTGATCGAGAATTAAACGTTCTTCTATCTTGGCATTCGTAAAGTTTTGATGACACATAAAAACACTCAAGGAGTTTTGAATTGCATCCAATTTACTTATATGTAGTAGATACACTTAAGTACATTACAGACGAATCACAGATATTTGCTATTAATTTCAAAGAAATAATTTACGATAGCAAACCTTTGAAAGAGAGAGAGGGAGAGAGAGAGAGAGAGAGAGAGAGAGAGAGAGAGAGAGAGAGAATCGTCTTATCCTATAAACGTAAAATCAAATATGATTTTTCTTGAATATATTTATTTCAAAATGATCGATCAATATTTAAGGAAGAAAATAAAGAAATGATTTTATCTCCTTTTTTTCGATCTAATAAAAAAATGATCTATCCATTTTTCTCTCTGTCTCATTAATTCAAGAATGAATAATAGATAAGAGATTGCACATTACAATGATCTATTGTACATGATTATCAGTGAACTTTAAATCTATGTAATTTAATCTTTTTTTTTTATCTATAATACATTCACACACACACACACACACACACACACACACACACTATTACTATCATACGTGTTAAAACAAAAATGTATATGTCTCTTTTGATATAAATAGAAAATATTTTATCTAAGATTTGAACTAACATTTTTCCAAACATCTAATCATCGACTCTTTCATTCTTTTTTTTTCTTTTTTTTTTTTTTTTTTTTTTTTTTATCAGTTAAGCATAAGTATTCTAATCGCTTTAATCGTATTCAAAATAGTTTCACAATTATAGGGTTTTTTGTTTTCAATTGTAGAAATGCAAATGTTTTTGATTTTATCAAAACTAAAAAAAAAAGAACGAAATAAAAAATATTACTATTTACATACCAAGATGATAATTCGATTTGTAACTATTATTAGTAATTGTATTAGATTGTCAATATTAAAAATAAATAGATCGTAAAAGAAAATTTTCGATTTGATCTGTATATACATGTACGTACGTACGTATGTATGTATCTGATATATTATCCATATTTTTACTAATTTTAAATGTAACTATTAATAGTTATTTAAGTACGTTTTAGTCGTCTTTTGAAGTTCAAACGGTTAGACTATTTTACAAAAAGAGAGAAAGAGAAAGGAGAGAGAGAAAGAGAAAGGAGAGAGAGAAAGAGAGAGATAGAGATTATTTTTATATGTATGTGTGTGTATCGTGTTATCGTGTATACATTATATGTATATATATATATAGTAGTTCTTTGCAAATTAGCTTGACACGAACAGAACGTATCTGGCTTGGTCTTAACGATTACACAACCTAACTACCTAACTTAATTTCAAGCAAGAACGTATTTCGAATATAAACGAATACCAATGCAAAAACTAACACGTATAAAGATGATATATAAATATACATCGATATCTGGGGATACTATCCCCAGATATACAACTATCATGGGATAGTTGGAAAGTTCCTAGTTCGATTGAAAGTTACTAGGTGTTAAAAAAAAAAAAAGGAAATCAATTAGACTCTTTTCGGTGATTTGCTAAGCTAATTTTCTTTCCTTTTTTTTTTTTTTTTTCTTGTTTTCATTTTCAAATTGCAAAACTACAAGTTCAAATAATATCAATCCCTGGCGAAAAATATTGATATTTTTTTAAATCGTTAAAAAAATTTTCGTTCCCACCTAGGAATTTTTGGCGAGAAACCTGTAAATAGATTTTATATAGGAAAAGAAAACACATTCGTTTTCGTCGTACGTAACGTTCGAACGTAACGATACGAAACTAAAGTTTCATCGGCTTTATTAATAACAAACTTTTCTTAAATAGAATCGCCTTCTTACAAACATCAGGAAATAGAATCGAACTTGTGATCTTCTTCGCAACAAAAAAAAAAAAAAGAAAAAAAAACAGGCCACACATGTGGGAACGCTTAACGACTAACTGTACGTTAAAATAACAAACGTTGAACGTTCATTAGAATTAATATATCGAGAATAGTCGTCGTCATCGTCATTATCGTCGTCGTCGTCGTCATCGTCGTCGTCGTTGTCGTCTTTATCGTCATCGTAATCGTTTTGATCCGGCCGACAAAATTTTTTCTCGAATTTTTTTCTCCCGTTTTTTTTTTTTTCTTTTTTAATCTTGATTATTATCCCGTATGAAAAATTTATAATTAATACCAAATATAACATAATAAAAATGTATAATATAATATTTTACGTGATAATCAATATGCGTTTGATATAATTATTTTCTATATAAAACAGATATATGGATAAACATAAATTTGTTAGAAATTAAAATGATCCAATTACAATGCCGACATTAAATAAATTTAATTTCATTGATTACATTGATAAGATCAATTTTTCTTGTATTATAATGGAAAAAAAAAAAAAAAAAAAAAAAAAAAAAATACACACACACACATATACACATAAATTTTGTATCGTATAAACAAATAAATATAAAGAAAACATTAATAAACTTCGAAATATCAATTGATGCGTGTACGATACAACTAAGCCAAATATACATTCACGTATCATAATTCGTGGAAACCATGAACGGCTCTCTTCGATTATTTCAGAGAAGTATTCTGAAAACGGGAGGAAGATCATTTCGGAGAAAAATACAGGGTGGGTCAAAACGTTCTTAGAATTTTTTTTATAATTTGATAATAAAAAATTAAATCGTCAAAGCCGCCGCAAAATAGTCCAATTGATTTTGAAAGATGACCTTTGGCTCTAAACTTACGATTTACTTTGTAGAAACGTGTTGTTGGAGATACATACTAATGAATCGTGTTCGATAGTAACGTAGGACGTATATATATATATAGATGCACACATATTATATAGACACACACATGTACCTATATGTATAGGATATTTAGGAAGGCGTGCCGCACGAATTCACCGAGAGAAATGCGGCATTTCTCGAGTAAGATGCGCGTGAGCTTGCCAAAAACGTGATGCATGCCGTTATGATAGAACGATGGTGTATGTATGGCCTCGAGTTTAGTGTCAGTTAGTCCGTCGTACCAACGACGGTCACACGAGTTCGTTCGAGTTCGAGCATTGACTTTGACCGGTTTAAAGGAAAGGAAAGAAGAAGGAGAAGAAGAAAAAAAAAAGAAAAGAAAAGAAAAAAGAAAGCGA